AATGCAACTGAGGATTCATAATAATTAATAATGGATCAGTAGGTTTAGCACTGCTGCCATGAATTACCCATGAATGAGGATTTTCATAAAATTTTTCCCAACCTGTTTCCCTTTCAGCAAATTCAGCACCCTACAGCATCGCTGATTGCCAAGGTTGCCACTGCACAGGATGACATCACAGGAGATGGTACCACCTCCAACGTCCTCATCATTGGTGAACTGCTGAAGCAGGCTGACCTTTACATTTCAGAGGTACAAGATAGTTCACAGTGTGTTTGTATTTGGCATGTCAGTCTCTCTAGTGAATGAATTGTTGAGGTATCTTTTTTTTAACCACAACTCCATTTTAATGGTTTGTTGCAGGGTCTTCATCCAAGAATCATTGCCGAGGGCTTTGAGGCAGCAAAAGAGAAATCTTTGGCTGTTCTTGAGGAAGTAAAGGTGACTCGGGAAATGGATAGAGAGACCCTCATTAACGTCGCACGCACCTCCCTCAGAACCAAGGTCCACGCAGAGCTGGCAGACCTGCTCACTGAGGTGAGACATGAGGGAATCGAGCACAAAGCAGATGTTAGATGTTTTTACCTTATAGCCAATTAGTTAGTTTACTTTGACATTTCAAAGTTGCCACAGACCTAAGGGCTTACTTATTCTTGAACCTTTATGGCAGTCTGTAGCTTGTTGTGAGTGCACTTCTCTATTCTCTAATCTTAGCTGTCGCTCATTTAGCTTGTGATCACCTTGTCTGTTTGCAGGCTGTAGTAGATGCTGTGCTCGCCATCGCTAAACCCAATGAACCCACTGACTTGTATATGGTGGAAATCATGGAGATGAAGCACAAGACCGACTGTGATACACAGTAAGTGTAAATACAGAGGTGGAGAGGGGAATAAGACAAGACTGTGCTTAACTGTGAATTCTAAATGCTGATCTGTTATTTCTTAGGCTGATCAGAGGTCTGGTGTTGGACCACGGCGCCCGGCACCCAGACATGAAGAAGAGGGTGGAGGATGCTTACATACTGACGTGCAACGTCTCTTTGGAGTACGAGAAGACCGAGGTCAACTCTGGCTTCTTCTACAAGAGCGCTGATGAGAGGGAGAAGCTCGTGGCTGCAGAAAGGAAGTTCATCGAGGACCGCGTGCAGAAGATTATCGCCTTGAAAAACAAAGTGTGTCCCAATGGGGACAAGGGCTTTGTCGTCATTAACCAGAAGGTATGCTAGAAAATGCGGATGTTAACATAGTTCAAAGGCTAAAGTTTAAAAAAAAAGAATTGTCAAACTCAGTTCAGTCTGGCTTGTACTACTAAAGATACAGGCTCGTAATTTGACTTTGTGTTTTCATATGAACACTAAGCCTTTTGAGACTGGCCCAGCCAATCTGGCTGCATGCACAGCGAACACCCAAGGATGCTATCATGGCTCCCCCTGGTTTTTGTGTCTGTGCTACAGTAACTCTGATCTGTACCTCTGCATTAGGAGAGTCTCTTCCTCCCCTACATGTATTCAGCGGATCAGGATAATCTTTACATCGCTTAGATTTACCGAACTATTTAGTGTAAACTGCAGTCTCAAGCATGTCTTCTTATTTTGTGTGTGTGTTTAGGGTATTGACCCATTCTCCCTGGACGCCCTAGCCAAAGAGGGCATTGTTGGGTTGCGGAGGGCAAAGAGGAGGAACATGGAGAGGTGAGAAAAATATTTTTCAGTGTTATAAATGTTGGTGGTGTTTTATAGTTGAGATGAGCAAAACATTACATTACTTAGATAAAAGTTCATAGAAGATTTTTGAATTGTTTGATTTAACATGCTGAGATGAGCTCATGCTTTATGTTTTGAAATTGGCACAGACACACCCGTACAGGTGCTTTACACTACCAGCCGGTGTCAGTCAGTCATATATTAAGAAGCTGAATTACACTCAGTGTGTCGTTCCTGTGACAGGCTCACCCTCGCTTGCGGTGGCATCGCCATGAACTCAGTTGATGACCTCACACCTGAATGCTTGGGACATGCTGGCCTGGTTTATGAACACACACTGGTGAGACTTTTTTTGGGGGGGGGGTCTATTTTTTACCTTTCAGTCCACAAAACTGTGAAATTTAAACTTTTTAAAATTAAAATGATATTAATGCTGCAACCTTGCTTGCAGGGAGAGGAGAAGTACACGTTCATCGAGAAGTGTGGAAACCCTCGCTCAGTTACCCTGCTGGTGAAGGGACCCAACAAACACACCCTCACACAGATCAAAGATGCCGTAAGGGACGGTCTGCGGGCAGTAAAGAACGCTATTGAAGATGGTAAGAGCTGAACATTTCCTCTATGCTTATTTTACTTTTTAAAATCCTTTTACTAAAAAATTATTAACATAAACTTTTGTTGATGATGAATTTCTGCAGTTTTGTTCTATCTGAATTAATCCTACTGGATGCTCTGCTTGACCATTAGTATGGCTTATAAAATGCTACCTTTTTAAACAGATTAACACTTTTTTTTTAATGTCTGTGTGCAGACAAATCAGTGTTTTTAGAATTCTTTAAGCAGAAATTCATTCATGAAACAACACTCTGAAGTCCTTTAAGGCTTTTTCCAAATATTGTGTGGACAAACTGTAGATCAAAATATCCATTTTCTCTTTATGTTGATAACAAGCTGAAATTGAAGGTGGTTAATTTGTCCTTAAGGAAAACAGAACAGGTCTCATTTGCACAGCGAACACCCAGGGATGCTAGTGTGGCTCTCCCTGGTCTCAGTGTCTGTGCTACAATGACTCTGATCTTATCCTCTGCATTAGGAGAGTTTAGTCTCTCCTACATGTATTCAGCTGATCAGAACAAACTCCACTAATTGTTTTAAATATTAGAGCTGTTCCCTCCCCGAGTGGGTTAATTTATATGACACATTTGTTTGCTTTCCTAAATATCTTTATTTTTCTGTCTTCAGGTAGTGTAGTCTCCGGTGCAGGTGCCTTTGAAGTTGCTGTGGCAGACGCTCTGGTAAAACACAAGCCCAATGTGAAAGGCAGAGCCCAGCTGGGAGTCCAGGCATTTGCAGATGCTCTCCTAGTCATCCCTAAGGTAAAGAATAATTCATTTTCTGTCATTTTTATTAACCGAAACCTGGTTTGTTTCTTGCTGCACCATTATTTGTCACCTTCTTATAGTCCATCCTGTATCAAAATTTACTGATGTTTTTAAAATGCCATCTTTCTGTTCTTAGGTTCTGGCCCAGAACTCTGGCTACGACCCACAGGAGACCCTGCTGAAGCTGCAGACAGAGTACAAAGAGTCTGGCCAGCTAGTTGGAGTAGACCTCAGCACAGGTGAGAACCACAGCAGCGATCAGTCAATCCTGAAGTGATTGCATTTTAAAGTTTAGAGTAAAACTCTATAATTGTTGTATTTAGCTATGTGAAGTTATTAAACAGTAACAATTTGGCAGAATTTAAACCTTTTTTTTTTTTATTCTAACCTTTTGCTTTGCAGGAGAACCAATGGTGGCAGGAGAAGCAGGCGTATGGGATAATTACAGTGTCAAGAAACAGCTTCTTCACTCATGGTGAGACGAAGGAATGTTTTAAATTACCCCGATGTATCGCCCACATGGGTCACTAACACGGGTCTCTGTTCACAGCACGGTGATCGCGAGCAACATCTTGTTGGTGGATGAGATCATGCGAGCTGGAATGTCTTCTCTCAAAGGTTAAAGTCACCTAAAGAAGCTGCAGCTGTTATACTCACAGGGATAGTTGTTTACCTAAAGGTTCAGTCAACGTGTTCCCGCTGTAGGCACTCTGAAGCACCCCCAGTCTGATGGACAGCCCGCTGTAAACATCCACGGCATCCATCGCAGCGCCTGTCAGACATCATTGTCATGCTAGTCATGAGGTTCTTTTTGTTTTCCATGGATTTGTCATCGCCTCCCTCTAAAATGATTGGTTTATTTATGAGATTTTGTTAAAAGCACTGACCTCTGCCTCAGTTTTGTTTCTACCCATTAAAGGTTTTCCTGGCTCCGTAAAAATGTGGTTCTTTGTCGTTGAAGAATTAATCAGTCAAACATATAAAAGTTAACATCTGTGTTTTTTCTGCTCTGAGTCCATGAATGCTTTGGAAGCTCATCAGGAAAAATGTGATCTGTAATGCACAACCAGTGTTGGACCGGAGCATAAGAAATTAAGCAGGTCATCAGTCTCCATCTCCTCTTATCTCTCCCCTTAGCATCCTTCCTGTCACACTGATCCTCTGCATGTGTCCTTTGTGTGCTTCCTCTTGCACTTTTCTACTGTTGTAAATAAGCTCTAGTTTCTAAAGAGTTTTCACGACACACCAAATCAAAACGCAAACACTTCTGAACTTTCTGTATTCACCTGCCTTTTGACATCAAAATGAAGGCTTCACAATAAATGCATCCCAGCAAAAGACCCCAATGAGTAAAACGTCATTGCTCACAAACATTGGGAGATCCCTGAGTTCTTGTAACATTAAAAAAAGTCTATATAATTAAGACATTTTAATTAAAAAGTAAATATGCTTAATAAAGCAGCAGTTCTCAAATTCACATTAAAAAATAGCAAATATCAGATATGTTAGTGGTTCAGTATAACAGAAGTCAAGTGGACAGTGCAGCGCATTAAAAGTGGTGTAATGTGTACTTGGGGTGTTGGGCTGAAATAGCCTATTAACACCAGAGAGCAGATGTACTTGAGAATTGAGAAAGGGTTACACAGATGTGCTGCATGGGAGTAAAACATAACCTGTAACTGTAATTGAGAAGCTGAATCAGTCAGGGTTGAGTACGATTTATATTACACCAGCGCAGAGCATCGGTGTTTACGTCTTACTCGAAATATTTTCCAATGTAATACTCTTCCTGTTATTATTATTATTATTATTATTATTAACAATATTAATATTATTCTCAATATTATTAAACTACAAAGCTTTGAGAAAGAGGAAGTATCGCGTGAATTTGAAAAAACGGACGGAACCAATTTTGAGGTGCAACGGTGAAATCTGTCCGATAGAAACGACTAAAAAATGAAATTGAACTTTGAGAAGTTCTCCATTTGAACGTGGTTAAACGTTTAACGTGTATATTTTTGTTTAGACGTGGTTTCAAACCAGTTTTAGCAAAGACGATGGTATTCTGGATGTTTGCTGTGTTTTTACTGACAGGGGCCGGTAAGAGGACTCTTTCTTTCATTTCTGAATTTAACAAAAACATTAACACTTAAATAAATACCCATCGAGGCATGTTTGTTCCTGGCAGCCGCGGAGGAAATGGTGAACATCCCGGGAGGAAAGATGTCAATGGGAACCAGTGCACCCGATGGGAGAGACGGAGAGTCTCCCACCAAGGAGGTCGAGCTTCAGCCTTTTGAAATAGACAGACACCCCGTCACAAACGCCGATTTCAGGTAAATAAGATCTACATTGAAATGAATTAAGGCAGAACTAATGCACTGAAGTCGGTGACTTGTTCATTTATTTGCCACAGAGACTTTGTGAGAGCCCAGAAGTACAAAACTGAAGCCGAGACGTTTGGCTGGAGTTTCGTGTTTCAGGACTTCGTGTCAGAAGAGCTGAAGAGCAAAGTCACTCAGAGAATTGAGGTGCCGAGTTATTTTTCTCTGATTAATAGATCAGATTACCAACTAGATTACTTATTTCACAATTTTAAGCATACATCTCAGATATGAAGATTTGCTGTTTTTATATGTCTAACGTTAGTGTTGTTCATAATAATTAATGAAACAATTTGTAGGCATCTCAGCATTTAAAGAGATTCTCCACAATAAATAAAATATATAATGTAGAGCTTCTTACTGTTGTAAACAGCTTCTGACCTATTTCCTCATCTTTTCCATCAGTCTGCTCCGTGGTGGCTGCCTATAGAGCGTGTGTTTTGGAGACAGGTGAGTTGCACATTGTGAGTTTGTTCCTATGTTTTTGACAGTTTTTGTTTACACTCACTTATAACATTTTATTAGGTAAACCATGCGAGTACTGAGTCAGACCCCTATTCCTTAAGCACTGCTGAATTCTTTGTGGCACAGATACAAGAAGGTGCTGGAAACATTCCTAGATACTTCGGTCCATGTTGACAGGACAGCATCACACAGCCGCTGCAGATCATCAGCTGCACATCCACAATGCAACTCTTCTGTTGCGTCCACATCCCAAATGTGCTTTATCGTAAATCGACACTTATCAAACCAAACCGCATTTTTCCAGTCTTCTGTTGTCTAACTTTTGCTTTGTTGAGCCCGACCAAATTGTAGTCTCAGTTTCAGTATTCAGAGGTGTTTTTCTTTACACATTTGTTGTAACGAGTGGTTGGTAGAATTATTGTTGCCTTCCTGCCATGCCTACTTTTTTGCCACGCACGTTGACCCTCTACTGTTCAGCCTTCAGGGCCTGGTTCGGGGATTCGAGATCGTCTGGACTTTCCAGTGGTTCAGGTGAGCTGGAATGACGCCCAGGCCTTCTGCAGCTGGAAAAGCAAGAGACTGCCCACGGAGGAGGAGTGGGAGTGGGCTGCACGTGGGGGGCTGCAAGGTATAATGTTTACTGCTATTATAGTCGAGTTTTTGACTTTCACTTCCAGCTGACAACATTTAAGTCGCACACAGTGATGTTTCTGCTCAGCAGCTCCTTTGTTATTGTCTCGACAGAGGAACCCAAAACTGCTTTTGTGTTTCAGATTCAGTCAAGTCTTTGTGAAAAATCAGGAAACTAGTTTGAATAATGGACTTTTTCACAAAACTGAAATATAATTTTATTGTTCATCTAATCTCTTTCCTGGCTGTTATGCTGCAGGTCGGACCTACCCATGGGGAAACAAGTTCCAGGCCAACAGAACCAACCTGTGGCAGGTCAGCATGTTGCAGTCATGGTTAGGTCATCATTAGGTCATTAGTATTGTTCTCATGGGAGGCTCTGATTAGGTTTTCACTAATGCTTCTTTAGCCACTGACATTATGTTTTTTGTCTTTGTTATTAAGTAAATATATATTGTATATCTGAATACAGAAAAAACCCTCTGTGTTTATGTAAAACAATGTTTTACACTCGCATGTTTTGTTACTGAGGAACAAAACATGCGACTATATTTTAAATTTGTATGGATCCAGAGTTGGGGAGATTAATTTTTGTTGCTAAGACAAGACCAGTGTTGGTCAAGCTTCTTGAAAATAGTAATTAGTTACTAATTACTGATTACTTCTCCAAGAAAGTAATCCCGTTAACTTTACTGATTACTTCTTTTCAAAAGTAGTTGGTTACTTTATTACTTAAGTTACTTTAAAAAACATGATACACAACTTGAATACGTTACAAATACGTTATAAAGCTGTATAGGATCCGGGGGCTTCTCTGTGAATTCAACATTCCTGTGGCAGCTTGCCAGGTGCTTGCTCAGATTTAAAGTTAAAGTTTTTGCAGTAGAAAGACGTTTTCTTCCCACGCAGAGAGTACTGTGGACGCCACATGGTCGTACTCAGTACTCAGCCGCAGTCCATGCCATCTGTTGTTGATTGACACACGTCTGTTGCTGCCACGGACGTCGCACGCTCGTACGTCATTGTCATAAGACACTCTCACAAACAAAATAATGGTTTAGTAACGCAGTAATGTAGCCTGCTTACGGGTAAGTAGCAGTAATCTAATTACTTTACTCTTTACTTGAAAAAAGTAATCGGATTACGCTTTACTGCCCATCTGTGACTAAGACTCATGTAATTCTTCACTTACTGTATTGTGAGTCTGGACAAACATGGATTTAAAGTGTGGTATTGTGGTAATTCTAGCTTTCGTGTATTTTAGGGATCTTTCCCAGATGGAGACACTGCAGAGGATGGATACCACGGCATCTCTCCTGTTACAGCATACCCTCCCCAGAATAGCTATGGTAATCTTGTTTTAACACACATGTTATCAGCATGATGAAAGAGCTGATTGGTAGCTAAGATGTTTAAGAGGAATATTAACTGTGCATTAAGACTTTACATTTGTGTTTTGAGCTTTTGGAAACATTTGATTTTTCTTCTCACATTTTATGTTGTGAACATTAACACATAATGACAAATCTTCCTCCAGGACTGTATGACATGATGGGAAATACATGGGAGTGGACATCCACACGCTTTTCAGCAGCGAGGCCGATGTACGTGCTGCGCGGTGCCTCCTGGATCGACACAGTGGACGGTTCAGCTAATCACAAGGCTCGAATCACAACCAGGTGAGTTTCTGAGGTAAAAAAACAAAAACAAAAGATAACGTATGTTCAGACCCACCGATTTAATCTTGAGTAAGGCTTACAACTGTGCATCCTGCAGGATGGGCAACACTCCCGACTCTGCTTCTGACAACCTTGGATTCAGATGTGCTGCCAGTGATGGACAGAAGGGCAGGAAGAAAAAAGAAAAAGCAGAACTATAGCCTCAGAGGACAGCAGTGTGGATTTGAGCCAGCAGTGAACAGCCTTTAATAATAAATGTGATGACTTTAAAGTTTACAACAAGATGGAAGCAAAGGACTAAATAAAAATGAGGAAGAAATTCACATTAAACGTGAAGCTAACTATATTTCTCCTGTGGAGAATTTCATAAAGAATAAAGGAAATCTACCATTATGAAACATTTAATAAAAAATACTTTTTAAAATGATGAAAAAAATAATTTATTGCTATTTTCCAAGAACTTTCTGTTTACCTGTAACAGTAACATCATGCCAGATGCTAAATGATTACACCATGCATTTGCTACTTCGCCTTTAGAGGTCGCCACAGGAGATAAATCTGCCTCCATCTCACCCTATCCCTCACATCTCTCTAAATCTATGAATCTCCCGTCTGGTCTTCCTCTTTTCTTCCTGCCTGGCACCTCCATCTTCAACATTCTTTGTCCAATATATCCACTATTCCTCTTCTGTAAATGTCCAAGCTTGTTATCCTTGCCTCTCAAACCTTTGGCTCCCAAGACACTCAACCTGAGCTCTGATGTACACATTTCTAATCTTGTCAATTCTGGACACTTCCAACATCAATCTAAAATTCTTCAGCTCTCTCAAAACTACTTCCTTCTTTCTAGGCTGGACTGTTGAAATTCCTCGTTTTGCAACCTTGCAGTGTGAGTACTGCGAGATCATGTTTCTCCCCCGTTAGCTTCTCTTCAGTGGATCCCTGTGAATTCCTGAATTTATTCCACATTTATTCTCAAAAGACCTCATTGTACTATATAATCCCCACGGAGCACTGCTGTTTGTGCTCCCTCTGTACCCCTCTTTTCTCTTTCTCCTCACTGGTCACAGCACATGGCTGCCCATCCCGGAGCTGTTTCTGCTGCATAGTGCAGGCTTAACTAAAGAGACTTGGTTACATGCCTCTGAACATATCCAGTGAAATGAACAAGTGGGGCACTCTTTGCCAGCATTGGTAGTCTTCCTTCCATGTGGTGGGATGTGTCTTTTGTTGAGCATTTCTATGTGACTGGGTAGTAAATTGGTCCGTTTGTTCAGTCTAGGCTTCTCTAATCCTGTCCTTGGCTTTCTGTTTACTTTCCCATAGTGAGGGTCTGACTGATTGGGCTCATTCTGCTAAACAGACCAGAAATGTTTTGGAAAAACTCCACTTTGGTTAAATACAGTAACAGTATAAAGCCATGACCTCTGACTTTGTGATGAAGTGTCTTAGCCCTGACCAAAGAATCAGTTTGAGTCCTGGTTATTCTAATAATCTAATGATATAAAATGGACAAACTGTTATCAAACAGCTTGTGCAGAGGTTGTTTTAAGCTGCATTTCTTGAGGAGGAGAGCAAAGTTAGAGGCAGATGTTAGGATGTCTTGTTACCAAATTCTGAATGACTTTGCAGAAAGTTTTTTTTTTTTTTAATCTTCCTGGTTAAGAACAGGCTAAATGTCTGTATTAATACCAAAGACCTGGGAGGTCCTTGATTCATTCAGTTGAGGAAAAACAAAAGGTGCTGTACAGTCTGGTATTTGTGCTCCACAAGGCTCCACCCCCTTTATTGAACCTTACCAAAACAGTGAGAATAACTCCAAAATACAGAACAGAGTTAAATGTGTTTCTTTGCTTACTGATTTTCTTTCTGATTGGAACATAATTACACAAGACAAAAATTAAACGCGCAACACTGCTGACATTTTAAAATTGTTTCACTGGAAATACAACAGGGACCGCCCTGCAAATGAATGCATATGAATAGCCTCACATTGTCACAGACCACCTCCACAGGTATTGTCTGACGATGCAGCTTCTTGGAATGCGTTATAATGTGAAGCAATTGTGCACAAATATTTCTGGAGCATGGTGAAGTTTTATTGAATATTTTTGCTTTGATATCAGAACGCAAAGTCATGGGATTATTTCATATACATTAAATACATAATATTAAAAAAATAGAATTGAAAAATCTAAATCTGACATATGTATCAGGGCTCAGGAGGACTTCATTAATAAACGTGGTGACAAAACTTGTTACATCAGTTACAAACAGCAGAAAGCATTCAAAACTTAGTAAATAGTTCTAATTTTCTAAAGCTCAATGAGGATAAAACTGAGATCCTCCTTATTGGCACCAAATCCAACCTTTTGAAGTTGAACCATTTCTCACTCACTATTGATAACTCCACAGTGTTCCCTTCTCCTCGGGTTAAGAGCCTTGGTGTCATCCTAGACAGTTCACTTTCCTATAAATCTCACATCTATAATCTCACCCGTTCTGCCTATTTCCATCTGCCCAACATAAACAGATTACGTCCTTCTCATTCCACCCAGTTTCCGTCCATTCTTGTCCACAGTCTCGTTACATCCCGTATTGACTACTGCAATTCTCATTTGCATGGTCTCCCCCTTAAACCCTCCATAAGCTTCAACTGTTTCAGGACTCTGCTGCTCGCGTTATCACCAGAACCCCCTCCTACCAGCACATCACCCCTTTTCTTCAGGAACTTCACAGGCTCCCAGTAAAATTCCGGATAATATACAAACTTCTTCTGCTCACCTTCAAGGCCATTCATAACCTTGCACCTCCTTACCTTTCTGACCTGTTAAGCACTACGTCTTCTGCCCGCTCACTTCGATCTTCCTCTTCTATCCAGCTCGCTGTGCCCTCTTTCCGCCTCAGCACCATGGGAAGCAGAGCTTTTAGCTGCTCTGCTCCCAGGCTGTGGAACTCTTTACCCCCAGTTTAAATCTCAACTCAAAACCCATCTGCTCAAATGTGCATTTTCACTGTGAACCCACTGTTGTTCATTTTATCTTGTGTCTTGAAAGGCAACTTCATAATTAAAATTTATTATTATTATTATTATTGAATAATAATAAGCTGTTCTTAATTCTTTACTCTTTTTGTTTCTGTTTGTGAGATTAAGCCACATAAAGAGTTAATTAGAAAGCTTTAAATGTGCTGAGGTGCTTTTGATCTGGAGATCAAAATGCTAAGCTAAGATAACCAATAGCTAGCTGCAACAGGCTCATAGATGGGACTATATGGCAGATGGCCTTACAGCTTCTACAGGAAGCAAGTGGATAAGCAGCAGCCAGGTGCTGCTTATCAAATTTACTCGATTAACTAAGTAGGTGTGTGTTAGCTTAATGCTACAATCTTCTTAGGAGTAGATTTCCTAGCAAATTGACCACAAGGTCAGACAATGCAATACTCCGAGATGATACGCAAAAGCAAAGTGCGCTCATCTCAGACTCTACAGGCCTCAGTTAGCATGTTAAATGTTAAGTCCAAGACAGTACAATAAGAAAAATACTGAGCATACATGGCCTGTTTGGAAGGGTTTCCAACCAAATAGAAGATGGGAACACAGCTTAGGTTTGCATTGTTGCATATGAACAAAAGGAAAAATGTCCTTTGAACAGACAAGGTGAAACTGGAGATATGTGACGTAATGGACAAACGCAGCACATTAGCAGAAACATCTAGTAAAAGCTGTCAAGCACAGTGGAGGAGGGGTGATGGTTTGGGCTTGTTTTGCAGCCACAGGCCTAGTCCTCTATATACCAAAGATTCAAATGTGAAGCCGTCCATCCAACAGCTCAAGCTAGGTTGTATGGTCATGCAACAGGACATTGATCCCAAACACAGCAACAAATCTACACCAGAATGACTGAAAAAGAAAGGAGGAAATGTTGAAGCACATGATTGAAATGCTGTGCATAATGAAATGCCCACAAACCTCAATGAACTGAAACAACATTAGTAAAAAAGTGAGCCAAAATTCCTCCACATCGTTCTACAGGATTGTAGATAATAGGGTGTATTTAGTTTCTAGCGTGACTGAATGCAGTCCTGTGAAAACTTTCTGTGTCAGATATATCTGATTAAAACTCTGAGGCATAAATAAAGTTAAACAACATTTGTTCAGATAGGTATGTGCCTCAGTCTGTCATTCTACTGACTTTGATTAGCCACAATAAAGTAGTTGTATACTGCAAAAAAAGAAAAAAGGTAATTAAGGCAAATTACAAGATTAATTGTGGCACTGACGGGTAAAAAAGCAGAAGCACCTCAAAACAGTGAAATAGAGATGTCTGATTTCATATTTAAGAGAATTTGTTTTAAAAAAAAAGTGGGCCTATCTAGCTGAATATTTAATTTAGAGGCGACCTACTTCTTGCTCAAAACAGCCTTGGCTTAGTGGGAAAAACACAATCAAGAACCACTTCCTTGCTGCATCTTGGTGAATCGCATAACCATGTGAACTGTAATGGAAACAGCTTTTTTTAAATGCACATAACTGATGATGATCATTTTTTTCCTTCAGTCACTTACTGATTCATCTTTGCACAGGCATGTGGGAGGTTTGTCACAGAATCCGTTTTACCTCAGATATCAGGAATGACTCTAACTGGTGTTTTCCCCAAAGTCTTTCAGTACCAAAAATAAATCAGGGACTTATCAGAAGTGTGATTTTTCACAAGCAAACATTCACTTCCGCTGATGCTGTTGTGTAATTTATTTTCACCTCTGTTTACTGGCCTACTCCTAGTAGCTATGTTCTATGTATGTGTGACTTTCTTGATAAAGGAAGAGTTTAAATAAAGTTTCATGCGTCAGGTTTGAATAACTAGATTGTATCAGAAGCCCTCCTCCCATTTGTCTCCCTGCTGCTGTGGTATGTTTGCACGTCATGTTTTTGTAGCGGCAGAAAAAGGAGGAAGAAAGCTCAGACGGGCCACTTGAAGCCACAGCCTCCGCTGACATCACATCGTGTCATATCATGCCCCAGTGAAGACGCACACAGTTCAGGTAAAACAAGTTTAATGACATTCTATTTGTCATCCTCACTCCACCTTGTTTTATGGACTTCCTCTTGCTTTCCTGAGTTTGTTTTTACCTGGCGCTGTCTGCAGATGGTTTAACTGAGCCCACTTCTGCCTGTGACTTCCACAGAGCCGGCCATGGATTTCAGTCAGCCTTTTTCAGTCCTCAATGAGAAGCTGAGACCTCGAGTCACCACCAGCGAGCAACTCTACTCCTCTCTGAACAGGTTGGAGGACAGACAGCTGGGCTCGCTCAGGAACAAATATACTTATTACCGAGCAATGGTTTTGCCAAGAGAACCTGAACCAAATGCCACAACAAAGACAGACGATCCAGAAGAGTCTGTAGACGAGACAGAGAAAGATTACTCTAAAGGAAACACTGCCAGTCTGCTGGCTGGTAAAAACACATGCCTCATTAACGAATTGAATTTGAACGATATCAGCGAAGATGAGCTGGGTGACGACGAAAGCACCTCACAGTCTGACGAGAAAGACAGCGTGGGTGAGGTGGCCTCAGAGGAAGCAAGGGACTCTGAAGGGTCAGGATCCAATGAAAACACAAACTCTTTCCAGAGGAACTACCTAGACGGGACCCTACCAGACCTGCTAAACAGTGGCAAGCCGCTCAGCAGACGCAGAACACTGGGACACTACTCAGACACGGTAACGCCAAGATAGTCTTTTTAATATTCACGTGTGTAAAAACCACATATTTTAAAGCACCAGCGCTTGAACTGATATCTGTTTGAAGAGGATTGTCAAACATGAAACCTGTAAAACAGGGAGGAGGCTGATTGAACTGTTGCTTAGCAGTGTATCAAAGGGTACAAACACACAAAGCGCACAGAGTCCTGCCATGCAAACATAATGAAGTAGAATAAAAACACGTTTGATGCTCTGCTGTCAGAGTGCAGTAAACCTCAGTTTCCAGTGACAATGAATGATTTTGGACACATGTTAACAGCACTTATTAGTCCTATATCTCTGATATCTGTGTGTACGCACACTTCCAGGATTGCATTCATGTGTGAAGAC